AGCTGCAAGCGATTCGTTCACTGATAGCTCTTACCATCAAACTACACTGCTATTGCTGAATGATATTATGAGGAAACTGATGGCTCCGCCGGCGCCGGTGCCATCAGTTGATGTTGCTGCTTCAAGTACGCAAATGATTGCGCGATGTACTTTCTAGAACCAATTTTTTCGAATGTTTCATTGTGAGATACTATCAAATGTTCAGGATCTAAATGAGATATCTCGAACAACGTTGTTATTGATGGTGGAGTGGGCTAAAGCGCTTCAACCGTTCCCGAATCTGATTATGGAGGACAAGATCATTCTTCTGAAAAACTACGCCCCTCAACATCTGATTTTGATGCCAGCTTTCAGGTAATCATTCTTTTTTTCAAATTTAATCATTTATTCCTATGGTCTGTTTGTTTTATTTTTGGAGGTTATTGTGAGAACGGAGAGTGTTTTCTATTTCCTAAGAATTCTTGCTTTTAGAAGCCCTGATACGACACGTGTATGTCTGTTCAACAACACCTATATGAGCCGAGATCAATCAAGTGAGCTGAATGGATTTGCAGCGTTTAAGACGAGCAATATAACACCAAGGTAAGTATCGGCCCATTCTAATAATTTGGAATTTCTTTTGAATGCGCCACCCACTTTTCCACTAGAATCGTAATGACAGCCGATGCCATTCAATCTATACAACAGATTGCTGGTTTAGATGATTAAGCCAATGTTTTTATCTGCCAGACAAATCCGGTGGAAATTAACCGACCTCCGTGGGATGGAAGGCTTGGTTGGCTTGGACGACGTGCGATCCAATATTTGAACCCCAGACCGTGCGCGTGGATAACGACGCCACTTGTCACTGCACCACTCAACCCCTTTCCACAACATCTTACAGAATATCTACCTTTACTTCGCTACTCCCTACGCTTTGCCTTTTTTCGCCAAGAGCTTCTTGGAACTGTTGGAAGTTCGGAAACCCGATCTTCAAGTGCCATGATTCTTCTGAGATAGAAATGAAGCCAACTCATTCAGTTATCAACTTTATTAACATATCTGTTCGGTCTTCATTATCCCAAACCCCGATAATGTTTTGTTTTTAAGGGTACTCGACGAGATTGTGTGGCCAATGCGCCAGTTACAAATGCGAGAAGAGGAATTCGTTTGTCTCAAAGTGAGTGGTGTTTTTAACCATTCCCTAATTACTTTTTCTTTCTGTAACCTTCTTTCTTCGTCCTATTACCCATCGTTGTGAATTTATCTTCTTGCTCGATTTTATTGGAGAATCTTTGATTCTTCGTATCCCTCAACACAGCATAAAGAATGGGTCGTTTCTAAGAAGAACACTTAGCTTTGTCGGAATGATAGAAGAAAAGATAACGAGCTCAGAAAGATTCATGTTTTGCTTATTAGGATTTATTAGGCGTGCTACGAAAGCTGTGCTCGAGTGACATAGCCACCTGTATGGGATAAGTGGAATAAGCCTAATCAAGGCCATACAATGAATTGCTTGAAAAGGAGAAATTCTCAGGATTCTAAGGACTAGCAAATGAGTACGGAAAAATTGAGCGAGTTATTGTCAGTGCAGGTGATGTCATTACTCTTGGAAAAAGGATTTTTTTCATGTTGCAGGCTTTGGCTTTTCTTCATCCTGAGGCAAAAGGACTTACGCAAGTCAAGTCAAACACAAGTGCGAGAGGCTCGTAACCGAGTGTTAAAATCGCTTTATGCGTTCATTTTGGAGAAGCAACGCAGCGAGAAGGCACCGACTAGGCTGAAGACCAAGTTGACAATGTCGATATCCCACAGACATCCGATTCATCATTAAATGAGTACAGTCTCTCATCATTTTCAAAAAAACACCAGCCTGTTTGGCGGGCTATCACATTAACATCTCGGCCTCATCAAAACAAATTTTTTCTTAGTATTACGACAAAAAAGTTTGGTTTTTTGCTGGAGATGGTCATTTCAGATATGGTAATATTTTACTTCTGGCGCCAGCCTTGAAGGCTCTCACACAGTTGCTGATTGAGAACATGACGCTTACAAAATTCTTCGGATTGGCAGAAGTATGTTATTCGTTTCCGGAAACTGCGAGCATTCCTCTTAGAGTGCATTGTTCTAAATTTTACCTTTTCAGTCCCAAATTTCGCCTTTTCAGGTTGACTCGTTACTATCCGAGTTATCCGATTCTCGAACGATGTCAGCACTCAAAGCGCGGCACCAGATAGCCTGCAGGCACATTTGTCATCACCGACTTCTTTGTCGAACAGTATTGCCTCTCCGGTGGTATCGGGAGTAAGTTTTCGGAGCCAATGCTTTCATTTTTTCTGGGCATTAATAAAATATGATTACAGTTTAAAAGGGCACACACTGCAAAAACCTCCTGTTGTAGAGGCATTGTTATGCGTTGCGAGACAATCGTTTCAGTAATCCCAATATTTAACAGTAACTGCTAATTTCCTGATTTTGTTTCCCATTTTTGTTTATTTTTGCAACTCCCTTTTCTGTACCGCATTATTCGATTTCGATCAAATGCACACAATTGAAGCAATGTTGTTAGCTATTGCGAACGCCTGCCGCCGGTAGGAATACCGCGGCTACTGTATCGCAGGAATCGTCACGTGGCGATAATATGTGTCATATTCTATTCACACCCCCCCCCCCCCCCTCGTCTCATGGTCGAGGTCGCGCCCATTATTTCACAGAGACCGTGCCTTGTGGCAATATGCAAGGTGTGCAATAAATTAGGCTGTGCAAATGGCCCAAAATTCCGAACTAGCAAGTGAAGCCAGATACAATTGACTCACATCCAAGCCATACGTAATACACTGGTGTGCAAAACTTAGGGACGAACGTAGCTTTTCCAACGACGTGTTACTGGCGCGTAACATGACTCTATGGAACCTAACCACACATACAAAGAGCTGCCACAGGGCACTAAAGAAAGCAGTTAACAGGAACCGTTAAACGGTCCACAAAGCTATCAAAAGGTTATGATACTTCATCTGTCTCGTCCTTAAGTTTTGCACACCAGTGTAGTTACTCGTACTGTTCTGGATTTACGAATCATGAAAACGGTTGCCTTACGTGAAATGACGTTTGAAACTTTCAGATTTCTCCGATGGATGGAAATGTGGTGGTGAGCTCGGATGCGAATGGTAGTAGTACTGTGATGACGATACTTTGATTCGATAAAGTCACCATTTATTGAGTAACAGGATTCAAATAGGTAGCCACCGATTCGGCTTACGATG